GCCCCACCCGACCAGCCCAATGGAAGTCTTGGGGAGGCAGGTCTACCATGGAGCTGGAAATGGCAAAAGAACTCCAGTCTGAGGCAGCACACTTACAGAGTGAGGTTGGGCAGCAGGCGGGCGGCTCCCATCGCTGGAGACACTTCTTGGGGCTATTGCCCCCTACCTCCAAACTCAGCAGCAGATGTGGGCAGGACCCAGGGGTAGAATCCCAGAGAAGCCAAGGTCTCTCCGATCCACAGGTTTTCAGGGGGGAGAGGAGGAGAGAGAGGGGAGGAGAGAAGAGGGGAGGAGGGAGGAGGGCGTAATTGGGAGACTGAGGTGTGAGGTGTCCACCTTCCCGGCCAGTGAGGCTGCGAAGCCGGCGCTGGTGGGGGCTTGCGTGTTCAAGCTGCCAGCCTTGGCCTGGTGACCCGGGCACAGGGAATGGGGCTGCGGGAGTTTCTCGATCGGGATGCTGGCCTCTGCGGTCTCCCGCTTTATTCCTGACCCGCACGGACCTGCCAGACTCTGGGTGGTGTGGGGCGTGTGGCAGGCAGGGGGAGGAGGGCGTCTTGCCTTTCCCCTCTCAGGGTCAGCTGCTCCCGCCCTCAGGTTTGTCGCCCCATTTGCCCAAGGGTGAGCTGCAGGTACCGTGCTGGGGCTGGGGCCGCAGGTCCTGGCTCAGGAAGGGAATCTCAGAAGCAGCCTTAAAAGGAGGAGCCTCCCTCCAGGGGGCAGGGGTGGGCTTGGCTCGAGCGGCTGCTGGCCTGGCCTCTCATCACCCCTTGCCACCAGGAGGGAGGGGTTAAGACTGTCCTGCCTGGCAGATTTAGTGGGTGCAGCAGGTTGGGGTCAGAGGTAGGAGGACCCACTGAGGGTCTTGTAAGTATCCCAACAGTCACAAAGCTAGCCAGAGGTGGAGACTTGGACAGAGGATGCCATGCAAGTCACTCTTCCCTGGGCCTCTACAGTCTCCTCTGAGAAGTGGGCGACAGTCATACCTTAAGGGGACCAAATGAGATAACAGCATTTAACAGACTTTGAAATTCCTAACATGTCTGGCCTTTGTTCTTGGACTGATATTCAACCCTACGCCACCCGGTGTCCCCTAACAGCTGCCTGGGATAAACTGCCCATCAGCCTCCACGCATGACCTCCGGTCCCATGGCTCTGTACTGAGCCAGCTATTACTGAATTTTGCAGACAAGGAAACTGAGGCATGCTGGGAGGTAGTTTTGCTCAGAATAAACTGGCTGGTGAATGGAGGAACCAGGTTTGGTTGGGTTCTTTCAGTTTGCAGGGATTATGGCCACACCCTCCAAGGCCCCAACCCCCAAAGGCTTCAATGTAGGGGCCCTGAAGCATTTTCCTGGATTTTAAGGTGACAGCTGAGGTTCAGGGAGCTCTATGCTGGCACTTCTCTATAGAAGGTGGATAGTGGTGAGAGTGTGTGTGTGGGGGGGTGTTGGGGCGACCTATGAGGGAAGCTGGGTCTAGGGAGCTTAAACCAAAGCTGTGGACTCCTTGGAGTTCTCTCGTGGATGTGGATTTATGTACCTACAGAGCTGACCAGGAGGGAAAATGAAACTCTCACCTCCAGGTTCCTTCCCATCTTCCTGAGCTCTATCAATCCACAAAGTGGTCTGCCACCTTGCCCACACACACAGACTAGCCAAGCAGACACCCCAGGGGCTCAGTCCAGCTCCAGCAGGGGACTTTCCAGCCCCACCCTGCCCAGACTCAAAGCTCCACTGCAGGGACTGAGTTGCTTGGAGCTGGTTTGGGGAGGGTGGTGTGAGCCCTGCCCCAAGTCACCCTAGGGAGTCCAGGGTTTGGGAATTTAAATTCAAAGAATGTCAAACTGGAAGGGATCCTAGAGCCTCACCTGGCACAAGTAACTCTTCTTACAGAGTGGATCTGGAGCTCCACACTGCACAGCTAGTAAGTGCCCTGCTGGGACTAGGCCAGGTATCTAAAGCCGAGTAGCCTGTCCCACCTCTCATCCCTGTTGGGCCTCCTGACTACTTCCATCTTAAACATTCTTCCCACCATTCGAGGCTCACTTTAGTCTCTGCTTTTTCCAGGAAGCTTCTCCCATCTGGCTTGAATCTCTGGAAAAACCTTTGACCTCACAACCTACCAGTTCCCACCTCCCAGACATGGTGTTAAGGCTACCTCCACCAAACCAGGCGTCAGGCGGGGTTACAGGTAAGAGGGCACAGATGCACAGAGGGGACAGCTGACCCCTTGTTGTACCCTGGTGGAGGGCTCAGCTAGGGGGTGGGAAGGCAGGTGTGGGGATTTCATCTTGCTCTGTCAGGGCTCATTCACCAGGGAACAGTGGTCGGGGAATGACAGGTCCTGCTGTCACTGACCAGCCCTTATCCCAGCTTGAGTCTCCAGGGGATCTAGGGCATGGCATGGGTAGCTGGCTTCACACATGATCTAATCTTTGGCTCCTTGTTCCCTCCCACTCTGCACCTGCAGGTCTGGCTTTCTGGTTTGGTTTTTTCCTTTACTCCCATGGGAGAGCCAGGGGTGGGCCCCAGATGAAGAGGCCTGAGCTCTGGACTTTATCTCCATGCCCTGGCTGTGGTCCTGGCAGGCTGTGTGACCCGTGGCAAGTCCTTTCACTTCTCTTGTCTCAGGTTCCCAGTGTATAAAAGGGAAATGGCTACTATCATGAATATCACCTGAGTTAAGGAACTCATTGAAAAGTATGACATGCTCTAAGAAAGGAAGAGCGTTACCCTCTATGTGGATCAGTCTCAATTTACCTAAATTTTGGTAGACATCCCCTCCTCCCCATGGATGGAATGAGCTGGAGTTAGAGGGGAAGGGAGGAGGAAAGGCTCATTAACCTCTCTAGGGGGGTTGCAGGAGGTGATAAGGGGAGTGCGAAGTAGCCTCAACAGTAGTTAATCCCTGCCCCCTAGTGCCAAGTTCAACACCCCCCAGCTGGGGCGTCTCACGCCTGCTCCCACTGACAGCCCAGCTGCTACAAACAGAGCCCACCTGCAGTCCTGCCACTTATCACCACCTGCCCCAGCCCAGCCCATCCTTTTCCTGTTGAAACACAGAAGGGTCAGAGCAGGGAAAGGGCAAAGGGTACCCTAGCAATGCAGACTGACCCCATTTGCTATTTGATCCCTACTGCCTGCCTGCAAATTGAGGTTCCTGTATCTGTGGATTGCAGGTCCAGATCGGCGGGGCCCTTGACTGGGAGAAGGGAAAAAGCCTGTATGGAGTCCATGAAGAGGCTCAGTACTGCCCCTCTTGGTTCCCCCTACTTCATTCTAACTACAAGCCTTCTTGCACTCTCTGCCCCGACTCTTCCCTCGCCCCAGGAGGGTGGTCAGATGCAAGGGTTCTGGGGCCCTTGGCTCCTCCCTGCTGCAAGACCTCTATGCAAAATTGCTTAAATACTCTGTGCCTCATTTTCCTCCTCTAAGAACTGGGACTGATAACAGTCAACACAAGGCTTGGTTGTGAGAAAAGGAGCAAGGCCATGGACTCACAGCCTAAGTTTTGTGGTGATTACTGCCATCTAGTGAATCTTCCTTCTGCCTCAGGCCCTTTGCCCTCTCCTGTTCCTCTGCCAGCTCCCCAAAGATGAGGGAGCCTTCACCCCCCTTTTTATCAGTCTGCTCCCAGGGGCCTCCTCAGACTGCGTTACTAAACAGTCATGTCTACTTCCTTTAAAGCATTTGCTAGTAATTGAAATGATACTGGCTGTTGTGTTTTCAGGGGACTACAGGTGACTTGAATGTGAGGAACTGGTTTTGTCCACACTGTATGGCTGTGTCTGAAACCAGGCTCAGTGAACATCAGCTGCCTGCCAAGGAGCTAAACAAGAGTCCAAATTGTGGTTTCTGACCTTCCCATGCAGGTGTTGAAAGACCTCAGCCTGGCAGGGTGGTACGTGCCTATAATGCCAGCTTCTCAAGGTAGCAGCGCAGATTCGGGATGATTATGAGTCAGTCAATAACTTTGCCTTAAGACCCTGACTCAAAAATAAAAGGGCTGGGGACATAGCTCAAGTGGTAGAGCACTTCCTAAGGTCCAGTTTCAAGCCCCAGTTAAAACAAACAAACAAACAAAAAAAAAACAAAAGACCTGTGGGCCTCTTCCCATTGGCTTGCTTCAGGCCTGGCCCATGGGGAGGGGCAGGGAGAAAACCAGCAGAAGCCCTGCAAGTATAGCCCCAAGTGTGCGTGTGGTGGACCAGCTGGCATGCCCACGGGCATCAGGTACAATCTAGGACCACCCATCCGTGAACAGGGCTCCAAAGCCACCTCTGCAGGCCTGCAGAGGGAGGTGGCTGAAGCCAGGCAGTTTATCCGCCCTGTTTTCGGTCAACTGGCCTCACCCTAACATTTGGCTTAACAGAAGAAGCCTGGGAGAGCAGGTGCCCCAAGGTCCCTATGGATGCTCTGTCCTTTTGACAAGTGCCTCACAAGAGCCTGGAGCTGGGACCCTGGGCAAAGGTCCTTCAAACTAGCAGGGACATGTGAGTCCTCAAGTCCTGAGCCTATAAACTCAACCAGCCCAAAGGGCATTGAGGGGCAGGAAGACCCCACCATGCCAGCTCAGCCGAGGGCAGGTGTTGCTTCGGAGTTGTGGGGGTGTGCCAGTGTACGGCTGCCCTCTGCTGGGCACACAGATTGATGCAGCAGCAAGGAGGTGGGCCCAGGGAAGGGAAAGGTCCTGACCAAGCAAACTTTATTGTGTTCCTCGGCTTTCTCCCTGGACTCTCTCTCCAGGACCTCTGGAACCAGGAGGGTTGGGGCTCTGTGTGGCCTTCACAACACCTCCTCACATTCAGACTCAGGTGGAAGGGCCAGTGGGGGACATGCTCTCTGCCCAGTGGGCTCACAGTCCTCCCTTGGTCACAGGGTGAGGCCATTGCGGACTCTTCATTTCTTGGACCTCACCTTCTTAGCTTTGACTGTGGGTTTAATCTGTGGAAACAAGAAAGAGCTCCAGTCTCCACCTTCCCCCAACCCTGGGTAGCCTCCCTAGAGACCATCCTCTTTCCCCAGGGTCAGCTTCTGCTGCTCACTACTGACCTTTCTCCCAGGGCTCTTGTCTGGAAGACTGGACCTAGAATGGGGGGGGCGGGGATTGGCAAGGAACAGGGGCATGGGTGAGCAAGAGAGAACTCTGATTGGTGCTGTAGCTTAGGCTCTCCTGGTGCCTGCATAGGTAAATCCTAGCCTTGGCAGTTCCAGGAGGCAGGGGGCCCAACCCAGAGGGATGGAAGCTCACCCAAGGGCATTCTGCCTCCAATCATTCTGGATTGGAGGCATGGCTCAAGCAGTACAGTACCTGCTTTGGAAGCACAAGCCGAGAGTTCAAACCCCAGTCCCACAAGGACAAAACCAAAAACCCCTACTTTTTCATTATAAAAGTAATATTGACCACACTGCACATAACATAGCAAATAAACAAGAGGATAAATTACAGTTTTTCTTACTTCCCACCAACATTTTGGTGGGAAGGCATTTAGGATGCTTCCATTTTTCTTTTTTCTTTCTTTCTTTTTTTTTTTTTTTTCTGGTGGGACTGGGGATTTTTGAACTCAGGGCTTCCTACTTGCAAGGTAGGCTCTCTACTACTTGAGCCACACATCACCAGTCCATTTTGCTCTGGTTATTTTGGAGATGGGATCTTAAGAACTGTTTGCCAGGGCTGGCGTGGAACTTGGATCCTCCTGATCTCAGCTTCCCAGGTAGTTAGGATTACAGGCATGAGCTACTGGCACCCAGGTATTTTCATGCTTTTCAAGGGGGCTATGCTGGGCTCCAGTGCTACCATATTTGTGTGAGCGAGTCTGTGTATATATGCCAACTGAACCACTCTGTTAGCACTGTATATCTCAGCTAAAGAATTTCGACTAACTTAATAGAAAGAAAGAGTTACCTTACTGCCTCCTCTTCTTTATCCAGCTTTTTTTTCTGGGAACCAAAACCAAGTATTATTAGGCGTGTTAGGCTGAAGCCCAGAAGAGCTAGAACAGACTCTCCAGCCGGAAGTGATCCCAGCTGAGCACATGGTAGGACTCATTGGCAGTGGCCTTGGCTCATCCCACATCCCACATCTGGGAGGCCTTGCCCAGGTTCCTGGTGACCAGTCCCTCTGAGGCGCCTCTGGAAAGACCCAGTGCACTGAAAGCAGCCATGTTCCTTTCCCCACCTTAGCGATACTTGTCTGCTTCTGGGGCACCAGCCTTTTGACTTGTTTGGCAGGGGTCTCCTCTAGAGATACCTCTGCATCATCGTCATCGTCATCATCATCGTCATCATCATCATCGTCGTCTTCCTCCTCCTCACACTCTTCTTCCTCTTCTTCTTCCCAGGGGTCCGAAGTCTCTGATGGCATGGGAAGGTGGCAGGGACAGGGTGGGGTGGGAAAGGCAGCATCTGAGCTCAGGGTTGATGCTTACCTCCACCCCTGGGATCCATTTGGCTCCAAATGTGGTCCTTGGAGAAACCAAGGGGCTGAACGTGTTTACTTACTTACTACCTGTAAAGGGTCATACCCTTTCTGCCCCACTGCCCCATATGGGGGCCAGGGGATTGGCAAAGCCTCACAGAAGGTGGGGGAGGTAAGAAGGGGGCAGCATCGCAGGAAGGGCGGATAGGGAGGGCTGGGGACAGGCTGAAAGCAGTCAGAGCAGGGGAGCAGAGGGAGGCGCTATGGTTTGCCCCTCACAGGTTCACTTGATCCCAGTGTCGCAGTGTTGAGATGGTGGAAACTACGATAGGCAGGTCTAGTGGAAGATAACTAGGGCTTGGGGCTCCACGGTCATGAATGGATTAATACTGTCTTAAAGGAGGTCTTGTGAGGCTGGATTTGTTCCACAGAATGGGCTGTTGTAGCGTTCTACTTTCACAGCTCACTCTCATGTCCACCCTCACACATGTGCTCCTTCTGCATGCAACCCCTGTATGCCCTGTTGTGATCACCCTTGGCACCGATCAGAGCCATGCTGTTTGGACTTTCCAGCCACCAGAATTGTGAGCCCAATAAACCTCTCCCTCTCAACTTGCAATCCTCTTCAACACCCCAAGTGCTGCGATTGCAGGTTTGTGCCATCAAGTCGACTCTTTTCTTTATAAGTTACCCGGCCTCAGATATTTTTTTGGTGGTATTGGTGTTTGAACTCAGGGCCTACATGTTCAGCCATTCCACCAGCCCTTTTTTGTTTTGGGTTTTTCTGAGATAGGATCTTGGGAACTATTTGCCCAGATTGGCTTCGAACTTCCATCCTCCTGATCTCTGCCTCCCTGACTAGCTAGGATTATAGGTGTGCGCCACTGGCGCCTGGCAGCCTCAGGTATTTTGCTATAGAAGTACAAGATGGTTAAGTGGAGAGGAGCCTAAAATAAGCAATTAAGGATTTCAATCTTATCCTAAGGGAAGTGGAACATGGGTAGGGAGTATCCTGATGAAAGAGACACAGCTGTACAGAGAGAAGGCAAGCTGAAGGGGCCTTAAAGGTGACAACACTAAATTGCTGTGGTTCCATATCATGACCACAGCTTCATGCTAGCAGCCAGTGTCTAAAATGCTCCCAAGAGCTGGGTGCCAGTAGCTCACACCTGTAATCCTAAGTATTGAGAGGCTAAGATTGGGAAGATCACAGTTCAAAGCCAGTCTGGCAAATAGTTTGTAAGACCCTATCTCCAAAATAACCAGAGCAAAATAACCAGAGTAGACATGGACTGGAGGTGTGGCTCAAGTGGTAAGCACCTGCTTTGCAAGTGCAGAGCCCTGAGTTCAAACCCCAGTCCCACATACAAAAATTAAACTAAACTAAACTGAACTACTCCCAAGTACTCCATATTACGCTAAGAGCTTCTTTGGAATACTCTTGTTCATTCCTGCAATTACTCTCTGAAGGTGAAACCAAGGACACTCTCATGTTACAAGTGAGGGCTGAGGCCCACAGTGGGCCGCCTTGCCATGGACTTCCAGTTCAGGTAATCGTGATGCCTATGGAGAGTTTGTTCAAGAATCCCTAAGGGGTGGCGAATGGCTCAAGTAGGAGAGCATCTGCCTAACAAGTATGAGGCTCTAAGTTTAAACTCAAAAAAACCCAAAAACCAAAAAACAAAAGAATCTCTAAGTGTGAGTATCTAGCGTGTTCTCGGTCCTATGTTCAGTACTGCCCCCACACCATTCCAACCCCTGTCCAAGGTTGCACTTACCATAGCACTCCTGGCCGCAGAGAAACACGGGTCCTGAGCCAGCCCGGAGCTGAAAAGTGACTGGAGGACAAAGCTCCACTCCCATCATGGTGACCTGCAGCAGGAAGGGATGTGGGTGCAGAGGAGACAGGCTAACTCAGGCCTGGTACCTGGCAGTGGCTGGCCTGGGACAAATGCTCAGATAGCCTCCCCACCCCTGCGCCTTCCTGCTGAGGTGGGCTCTGTCCAAGAAGGGACACCTGATCATCTTATTCAGAGACCAGTTATTTCAGTAACACCAAAAAGAAGAAGGAAGAAAAAAAAAAAAAAAAAAAGCACTCCAGGGGCTGATGAAAGGAACTGAAAAATAATTTGAATTGAATAAAAATGAAAACAGTACTTATCAAATTGTGAGCTAAAATTAGAAAATGCTTAGAAGAAAATCACAGCATGAAATGCTTGTATTATAAATAGAAGAAATATCTAAAATAAATAAGTTTATTCCTTTATAAACTATAAACTATAAAACAAGCCAAAACAAAGGAAATACAGAAGTTTACATCAGTGAAATTCAAAAGTGGGTAAAAAGAAGAAAAATTTATACTAAAAGCCAATTTTTTAAAGAAGACTGGCAAAATGATTAAGTCTCTGAACAAGCTTAAAAAAAAAAAAAAAAAAAAAAAAAAGAAGAGAAGGGCTTTGCCCTGGGGGCTCATGCCTGTAATCCTAGCTACTCAAGAGGCAGAGATCAGGAGGGAGGACTGTGGTTTGAAGCCAGCCTGGGCAAATAGTTCTTGAGATCCTATCTTGAAAAAAACCCAACAGAAAACAGAGCTGATGGAACAGCTCAAGGTGTAGGCCCTGAGTTCAAACCCCAGCACCGCAAAAAACAAAAAACAAAACCGGATGACCAGTGTCAGAAACCACAGAGAGCAGCTTTAAGACAGATGGAACAAGGGGATATCGTGAACAACTTTATGTCAATACATTTACAACTTAGATGAAATGGAAAACTTTGACACCAGTGAAGCTCTCTCATCTCTCCAGCAATCTAGACAGAAAAGGATAACACATCACGACAAATGGAGCTGATTCTAAGAATGCACAGTAATTAATACATGTAATGTATTGAAAAAAAAAATCAATAAACTTAATTTGCTGCAAAGCAGAAAAAAGGGGAAAAAATCACCTCAGTAAATACAGAAAAGAATCCTTTGACAAAATTCATTGCTCACTCATGATAAAATATCTCAGTGAACTAGGAATAGATGGAACTTTGTTAAGCTGATACAGGACATGTATAGAAATTCCTACTGAATGGTGAAGGATTGAATGCCTTTCCCTTTAGATCTGGAACAAAGCAAGGGTGGTCCTTTGTGAGTGTGTATGTGTGACTGGGGTTTGAACTCAGGGCTTTGAACTTGCAAAGCAGGTACTCTGCTACTTCAGCCATGCATCCAGCTTGGTCCTGTTCTTAACACTTTTATTCAACATCACACTTGATGTTCATATCAGACAGGCATATAGAGGCACACAGATAAAACCTGACGTTAAATGTCTTTATTCACAGATGATATGCGTATATATGTATATACACACACACTCAAATTCTAAGGAATCATTAAAATGCTACAAGAACAAATAACGTAAATTTAGCAAGGTCATATGATAAAAAACAACTGAATGGCTATATACTAGTAATGAGTAGTTATAAAAAGAAATTTTAAAAATATAATTTGTGTACTTTACACCATATATAATAATTAACTCAATTGAACCATAGACTTAAATATAATAACTAAAACTATAAAACTCTATAAGAAAACACAAGTAAATCTTGGTGACCTTGGATTAGGCAATAGTTTGTTAGATTTAATACAAAGCACAAGCAACAACAAATACACATTGGACCCGGTGCTCGTGGCTCACATCTGTAATCCTAACTACTCAGGAGGCAGAGATGAGGAGGATCAAGGTTCGAAGCCAACCCTGGCAAATAGTTTGTGAGACCCTATCTTGGAAATACCCATCACAAAAAAGAGATGTCAGAGTGGCTCAAGTGGTAGAGCACCTGTCTAGCAAGCATGACGCCCTTAGTTAAAATCCTAGTATCCCCAAAGAACAAAACCAAGACAAAACAGTGGCAAAGCTACCATCATTTACAAATGAACAATTAATTTCACATAAGGTCTAAGATCAATAAGGAACTTCTGGACACAGAAGTTTAAAGTGAACAGTTTAAAATGTAACTGTTGAAGACGGGTTATTGGACTTGCCCGAGGTCACGTGGCCCTGGGAAGGGTAAGCTGGCATGCCTGAAGGCAGGCTGTGATCTTGTTGCCTCTCCAGCATGACCACCTGTGGCCTGAAGGCGGCCTGGGCCTCCTGAGGTGGGGTTGACAGCAGCATCCCTAGGCCATAGAAGAGACTCACCATGGGCAGGACGGAGGCCTTCAGGGAGGCAATGGTGACAGGCTGCACCTTCCTGTCCTCCTGGTTCACAATCTCCACTCGGTTCACTTCCTCTTTGGCTTTCTCCCCCAAGCAAATCTGAGAGGGGTTGACAACAGACAGAGGCACTTCATCACCCTGAGGACAGATGTCATCTGTTGAGACCCAACAATCACTCCTGCTCCTTCCTCCCCTCTTTGGGGGAGAGGGATGAGAGGGACACCCAGCGTCATGACACCCACCACATTGAGCAATAGCCTACAGCTCTCCTTCTCCACCTGGGGTCTGAAGGTGCAAGTCCGCTTCTCCTGATTGAGCTCACCTCCTGCCCAGAGACAGAGGATGGCAGTTGGGTCAGGGAGACCCACAGGAGGCTCCCAATGCTCCCTTGCTGCCCTTACCCCCAGAAGGACGGTGCATCAGCACCTCTAGCCCACCTCTGCTGGGGGCAGGTGTGGTGTAGTGGGCTGCTCTGTTACTCACCCCAGAGTATGGTCCTTATTGCCTTTTCAGCCATGCTGCTGTGACTCATGTTGCTAATCGATGCAGTGGGAGTGGCCCAGCAGCTGTAAGAATGGGCCTTGTAGTAAGGAGAGGCCCTGGGCCCCTGCTTGGAGCTCAGCAGCACTATTTTCTGCTGAGTGATACAAGAGCCAGCTGGTTGGCGGACTGGAGGTGTGGCTCAAATAGTAGAGCAGCTGCTTTGCAAGTATGAAGCCCTGAGTTCAAACCCCAGTCCCACCAAAAAAAAAAAAAAAAAAAAAGAGCCGGCTGGCAACTTTAGGAGACAAGGCCTGGTTGAGGTCCAAGAGGACCTGCCATTAAAAACTCTTGGAGGACAACACTGGTCAGAGCAGCTGGATCCCAGCCTGGAACACTCAAAATAGCAGTGCTTGCGAATGGACAGAATTGTGGTTTTGTCAGCCCAAACTTGGAAGGTTGTTGTGAGACCACCTGGCTGCCCTTTGGGTCCAGTATCCCAGGGCACAAAGCCAGAGGATGTGTGTCCAGTTTGGGCCCAGTTCCACTTATTCCCTGGATCCCTGTCCTCTCTTAGCTCCTGCTCAGTCCTACCGTGCTGCCAGTCAGCCCATGGGTCCTCCCCTTCACTGCAGCCTCATCCAGCTTCACCTTCAGTGGAGGCCAAGGCCAGCTGCCCACACCAGGCTGTTAAGAAGCCTGGGAAGGGGGAGGGGGAGGTGTCCAATCAGCCTTAAAGAAGCAGCCCTTCTTTCCCTAATCCATTCTTCTGTCCTTTCCTCTTGCCTCAGAATCACCTGGAGGACTTGTTAAAACACAATTGCTGGGCCTCACCTCCACTGTTTCCCATTGAGCAGGTCTAGGTGAGGCCAAAAGAATTTGCACTTCTAACAAGCTCCCAGGTGAAGTGGCTGCCGTTGGCCCAAGACCATTGGTGAGAACCAGTGGGGATTTACTGAGGCTTGCTGTGAGAGAAGGGGCCCCACGCCTAGCTTTGGGTGGCAGTAGGAAGCAGCAGCTTTGACTACCATTGTGCATTTCTTCCTGCGATGTAGGAGAACTCTAATTGCTCTGTAACGTTGTCAACACTTGGCATTGTCCATCTTCTTAATTTTAGCTGTTCTAGTGGATATGTTTCATTTTTTAGTGGCATTTCCTTGTCATTTTCATTGGTATTTCCTTGGTGACAAGTGATAGAATGAGTACCTTTTAAGAGATTATTGGTCACATGCATGTCATCTTTTGCAAAATGCTTGTTCAACTTTTAAACTTAAACTTTTAAGCTGAGGAGGTTATTTTCTTATTGAATTGTAGAGGTTCTTTATACATGTTAATACTGTTTTTTGTCGTCAAATGTATGTTTTCCAGGGCTGGAAGTGTGGCTCAAGAGGTAGAATGCCTGCTTTGCAAGTGCAAAGCCCTGAGTTCAAATCCCAGTCCTACCTCCAAAAAAGTATATATATGTGTGTGATATATTTCAAAGATTCAAAGACTTTGATTTTTTTTGGCTTATCTATGGCTTTCCAGTATTTTTTGGGTGGAGGGGGCAGGCAGTGTAACTGGAATTTAAACTCAGGGCCTCTTGCTTGTAAGGTAGGTACTTTTTTTTTTTTTTTTTTTTTTTGAGACAGGATTTCTAGCCATGTGGCCCAGGCTAGCCTCAAATTGTGTGTTTTTGTTTGTTTGTTTTTTCTTGTGGTACTGGGGTTTGAACTCAGGCCCTTGTGCTTGCTAGGCAAATGCTGTACCTCTTGAGCTACCCTCTAGTACTTAGCCTCAAACTTGTGATCCTCTTGCTGCCTCAGCCTCCCAAGTGCTGGGATTAAAGGTGTGCTTCACCACACTTCCACTGGTTTATATATATATTTTTTGGTGGTGGTACTGGGGTTTGAATTCAGGGCTTTACGCTTGCAAGGCAGACGCAGGCTATCACTAGAGACACACCTCCAGCCTTGCTTCATCTTTTTAGTGTCTTTTTTTTTTTTTTTTTAAAATAAAGTGGAGGGAGCAGGGCCAGAGGACAGAGAGGAATGGTTAGAAGAAAACAAATGAATAAACATAGCATTTTGCCTTTTTTTTTTTTTAAACTCCCAGCTGGCTTTGCCAGATGTTAATGGCAAACGGTGTTTCCGGAAGACCTTGGTTCTTGCGTTCCAGCATGGAAGAATCTAACCAGAACGAATGGGTGTAAATGGGGTTTGTCAAATATTAGGGAAAGGGAAGTACAAAGGGGAGCATGGTGGGCGCAGGTGGAGTCCGCTGGTAGAAAGAAGTAGTGTCTTTTGAAGAACCAATTTTTTTTTTTTTGAGATGGCATATTGCTATATTGCAAAGGATAGCCTCAAACTTGTGATCTTTCTTGCTCAGCTGCCTGAGTAGCTGGGACTAAAGGGTGTATCTGTCATCACACTGGCTTTGCTTATCCCTCTCCTTCACTTGGACCTCCCTCCAACTGCTTATCTAGTTCCTTTAAACTATCCTTTCCCTGTAGATTTACCTGGGCATCTTTGTTGTAAATCAGTTAAGCACATATGTGGAGGTATTTCTGGACTTTATTCAGTTTCACGGATTTGTACATCCACCCTAGAACCAATACCACATTACCTTGATTATGATAGCTTTATAGTAAATCTTGAAATGAGGGCGCATGAGTCCTCTAACTCTAGTTTTTGATTTAAAAAGTATTTTAGGGCTGGGGTTATAGTTCAGTGGTAGAGCACTTACCTAATATCAAGAGGCCCTGGGTTCAATCTCTAGGACCACAAAAAATTTTTTTAGCTGTCCATATGCTTTGTACTTTCATATAAATTTTATAAGCAGTCTATCAGTTTCTACAGAAAAGTAGAAAGTTTGAGAGTTTGGGATTTTGTTGAATGCAAAGATTGATGTGGGGTTTACTGACATGGGTTTTGAGCTATCAAAGCCATGAATATGTTACTAAGTGGATCTTTTCCTTGGCAATGTTTCATAGATTTCAGTACACACCTGGCATCTGTCTTTATAAATTTATTTCTTTGTATTTCACGTTTTTGGATGCTATAGCAAATGGCATATATTTAAATATTTCATCTTCCTCATATCTTTGATTAGCATAAATTGTATAATTATATGCAAATATATATCTGTATATACATATATATAATGTACTTTGATCAAATTCACTCCTCCCCCTAAAATTTCATCTTCTAATTGTGTGTTAGTATATACAAATAAACTTTTTTTTTTTTTCCAGGGCCTTGCCCATGCTAGGCAAAGACTTATACAATGGGTTTTGTATGTTGGTGTCATACTCTGTGATTTTGTTAAATTCATTTTAGTAGTTCCAGTATAATGTTTGTAACCTAAATCATGACACCTATGAAAAAACATTTTTACTTCATCCTGTCTGATCTGTGTGCCTTTTCTTTTTTGGTTATGACCTCCAGTAAAATATTGACTAGAAGTGGTGAGACTAAGCCAGAGGTGGCTCACGCCTATGAATTGGCCCAGGCAAATAGTTCGTGAGAACCTGTTTGGAAAATACTCAACACAAAAAGGACTGGCGAAGTGGTACCCCAGTGCCATCAAAAAAAAAAAAAAAAAAAAAAAAGTCGTGAATAAGTTTGAATTTTGCCATACATTTATGTACTGGGATGATCTATTATTTATCCTTTGAGTTACCTTTATTGCTTTTTGAACGTTTAGGATCAACCCCTCTCCTTTTATATATTGTCGAATTATATTTGTTTATATTTTTCTAGGATTTTTGCATCTAAACTCATAAAGGCTATATTACTCTGCAATGTTCTTGGTTTTGTTAATTTTTTTTCTTTTACCTTCTTTGGTTTTGGTATTTGGGAAATGCTTAGTTAGTAAAATGAGTTGGGAAGTGGTCCCTCCTACTGAGTGTGTGATTGGTATATTTCTTTTGTAGGATTTTATTTATTTTTTGAGGTTTGAACTCAGGGCTTTGCGCTTGCAAAGTAAGTGCTCCAAACTCGAGCCACACCTGCTATCCATTTTGCTCTGGTTATTTTGCAGGCTGGGTCTCGCGAAAAATTTGCCCTGGATGGCCTCGAATTGCCATCCTCCGGATCTCAGTCACCCAGATGGTCAGGAATACCGGCGAGAACCACCAGCACCAGCGCTGCCTGAAGAGCGGGGAATTCTCTTTGAGTCAGGTTCTATCCAGGTCCCCCAGCGCTCTGACGTTTTGGACAGGACCCGCACCCTTGTACTGCCCGTGCTTTCTCTTCCTGTTCTGTTAGTGGACATCACAGAACCATCCGTCCAAGTCCAGCTGGTCACAAAGTGCCACTGATTCCACTTCCCTCAATGTCACTGAACTTTCCCCACCGTCCTTGCCTTGGTTCACATCTATTGCCCACTAGCTGGTGGGCTAAGCAGTTTGGTCACTAAGCTTCTTTCCCAAGTGGCCTTTGGAAACTTAGAGCTTTTAGGATCAAATCCTAACCTCTTGTGCTCATCCCTCATGCAGACGCTCTCCCTCCAGCCACATTTCTGCACCTCCGTGGGCGTGCCTTCTTCCACCGGCCAGTGCTGCCGGACTTCACTGACTTCTCCCAGACCCATCCCTTTCCATCCGCGTGTCGCCTCCGCTGAGCTCTGTGTACCCCAGCCCTAGAGTAGGGGGCTCTGCGGTTACCGCTGCGGATGCGGGGCGTGAGGCCACGGGGGCACACCGCCTCCCGGGGGCGTCCTGAAATACGCTCTTCCACTGCGGAGCTGCCTCACTGCGCCTGCGTGGGGCGGGGCGAGCGACGCCGGGCCGGGAGCGGGTCTCTGCGCAGGCGCAATGCCTGCTTCTTAGGCTAATGACAGCGCAATCACTTCCGGGACCCTGCACTGAAGCCTGGCCTGCACGCTGGTGGCCGGTTGTGGGCCTAAAAGGGGTGTGGACTCTTCCTTTTTTCCTAAGCAGTGCGGTTTTCGCTGTTTTCATTTCGGTTGAGGCCAGTGGCAGGGATGTGAGTTTAACCGGTCCAAACCAGGCAGCCTGTGATCTGTCTCCCTGCAGGGCCTTCGCGCAGTCCAACTCCTCTCTCCACAATCTTCTGCGGATGCTCCCACGGCCTGAGAACTTCGCTTCCTCGTTACCATGACGAGGACGTGATCCTTTGGTCACAGCTCATAAGGAGCACATTTTGGTTGCTTAGACAGGGAAGGGTGGGTTTAGGAACACTCCAAATAAATGCGCAGGTCCTAAAGCTCCTAGAGATGAGGACAGTAGAGGGACCCTGTAGAGAGGGAGTGAGGCTCAGTTTCGGATATGGGGAAAGTTAGGTGAACAAAGTTTAGACTGGCAGGAGAGGATTCTGTAGGCGGAAAAGGCAGGAGGAAGGTGGCAGTTGTATCTGTCTAGCTGAGTGGAAGGGTTCCGCTGGTTTGTGGCATGGTAAGGAAGGTTTATAACTACTTAACCTGTCTTGTGACCAGTGCCCAGGGCTGCAGTATCTAAGTGGGCAATCCTCATGAAATAATGGCCTGCTCTGTTTTCTTTATTGTTGTGCTGGGTGGGGGTACACTGTAGCATTTACCAAGATTCTTACTATGTATCAAATGTACTTGAATTAACCCCCTCCAGTGCTCTTTCATCGCCCTGCTGTACTCTTAAAAGTGATTTTATTCCGTCTTTGTTAGCTTGGGTTTTCTAACTACATTCTCTCACCCTTTTACTAGCTGTAGGAAGTACCTATCAGACTATAGTTGCTCTGCTGAGCTTTTACGTAAGGCCAAATCCTTACGTAAGTTTTTAGTCGTGTGAGTTTATTTGTCCTCCAGATGAATCTTGATGCCAGACTTTTGATTCAATAGTAGGGGTTAAGAAGTAACAGCCTTTTTATTTTTTTTTGGGTACTGGGGTTTGAACTCAGGAACTTGTGCTTGTCAGGCAGACACTCTAGCACTTGAGCCACACCACTAGCCTATTATCAGTCTTCATTCCTTTGCAATCCAGTGAAATGGGTTAGACTGTATTGGTGCTGCTGTATACTTTACAAATTGTCATCATGGCTATCAAACAAAACATAATAGTTGTGTTTGGTGCTTTTATACTCAACTTTTTTTTTTTTTTGTGGGTGGTGGTGCTGCTGGGGATGAACCCAAGGTTTGGTGCATGCTAAGGAAATGCTCTGCTACTGAGCTATACCCTAACCCTGTTCACAGTTTAGTCACTTTGTACTGTTGAGAGCTTTTACACAGAAGAGTGGAAATAAATTTGCCTTGCACATTGCTTTTTCTGCTTTTCATCTTCTCTTGATCATTACCAAAAAGGTATTTACCCCATAGTTGGTGGTGAGTATATAGTGAAGGAACAGATGGCAAAGGGTAGCAGTCAGGCTGTCCTGAGAACTTTCAGGGTCTTCTGAGGAAGGGAAATAGCTTTCCAAACTTGATTCCATTCTCCACCCTCATAGTTTAATGTCCCATTGTGTGGCAGCTGCTTTCTTTAATTGAATCACTGTTCTTGAAACATACCCAAATGGCTGGCCAGCCAGTGTTCACAGAATCTATGTGCCCATATAATAAATGTCACCAACTCAGAAGACAGCTAGCTAATGGGAAGAATCTCCTTAAACATGATGTAGCATCTTAATTGATAGTTAATCGCAGCTGGTGAGAACACTTACTTTTCCAAACATTTTCCAAGGCCTAGTTAAGGTTTTTACAGATTCCCGTAACTTTTTCCTCTCCTTTTAGTTTGGCAGTATTAGATGTCAGCTTGGGTTTGTAGATCCAGACAAGTTTTGAGTGCGGACAGGGTTGGCTGGTGGCAAACAGGACACTGGGAGGTTAATTCATGTTACCCCATGACCATGAGTATTTTGGAAAGTGGTCTAGATGCTTGTGTGCTTCGGTGAAATGTCATATGATAATGAAACATTTTTCTACTTGGGAAAAAGACCTTACGAGTAAGCCCATGTTTTAGAGAACGAAAAGCTATTATTTTTTAGTAGGCTGTCACCTGCCACTAAAAGTTGACTCTTCTGCTGAAAGTCATTATTTCTTAAAATTTGAAGACCTAAAAATTCATCTATAGGCCAACTCTTGTTTGGATTACACCATAGCAGGAAAGGATAACCTTTGATTGGGCTAAGCTAACAAAACACATACATACACATGCAATAAAGAATCTAGATGTTGTTTCAGTGTAAGGTAGAGTTTGTGCCAGGAATCACTGTGTAAAGACATCTGACCTCATGAACTCTGCCCAGGAAGCAGCCTAGCCTAGACACTCCCAAATAAACTCATGTCTTAACTAAGACCGCCATGATTTCTGAACTTAAGAATAACTGGCTTTCACATCAGGTGAAATCAGTATCGACTGCTTTTAACCAAAAACCTATTTTTTAAGCCCCATCTCTTAAAATTGCTAACTGAGGAGCCCCAAGCCCCAAGGTTTGCGAAGTTCAGTGGGGTTTTGGAAGATCTTAAATACAGTATTTTGCCCTAAGTATACTGTACTCTGGGTGCACTGAGGAGACCATCATCCCTGGTTAGTTTCTTGCCTCTGAAATTCTTGTGGAAGTGAAGGGAAGGCTTGGGGTTTTGCCAGTCAAGACAATAGGGCAAGAGGACTTTTCTTCAAGAAAGATTTTTTGTTGCTGTTGGTGGTAGTACTGGGGTTTGAACTCATGGTTTCGTGCTTGCTAGGCATGTGCTGTACGGCTTGAGACATGCCTCCAGTCTTTTTTTTTTTTTTGCTTGCATTTACTTTCAGAATTAGAATTCCAGGTCCCTGGAGCATCACCAGGACTGTTTTGCATATTAGTGAAAACCATTTTATCTTTCTGTTAGGCTTACAGATGGAACTTGGCTAAGAGCAATCAATTACTTGCCTTTTTGACTTTTGAAACAACTAAGGACTGAGGTAATACCAGTTCCCAGAAGGCTGACACAGCACAAAAAGGTACATCTCAGTAAGGCAGCCATGATTGGCACTCTTGAGCCCGTGAGTCATTGGATACTAATCAGTCTTCAGTAAGACACACACACCTGTCTGTACCTCAACCTTTTCCAATGTTCCTGGCAACGAAGCTCCCTTGCACACAGGCATGGTGAGTACAAGGATTAGGACTTAACTAGTGCTCTTTATTTGCTAAATTTGGCCCACAAGATCTGCGAAGTATCCAGGAGATAACATTTGCCTTTGAATTTGTCAGGTTCCAGTAAATAAAGCCTAGCTCACATCAGAGAAATAGACATCAAAATGTTAATAAAACTGGGCTTCCTTCAATTATTATTGTCTGCAGGTGGCCATGTTACTATCTTGAGACTAGTTTTAAAAATTTTTTTGGTGGTACTGGGGTTCGAACTCAGAGTCTCATGCTTGCTAGGCAGGCGTGCTATCATTTGAGTCACTCCACCAGCCACTGAAACTAGTAAAGAGGTAGAATGGATGCACTTTTACAGCTATGGGTAACACACTGAGCCAATCAAACTTTTAAAAAGAAGTATAGTCAGACTTAGTCCAATGAAAAACAAGTTAATTTTGTAAGGCTGAGGGGCCTATTGTTCACTGGCTTTTAAGAATGCATGTTTCAAATATCTTCACGTGTTTAGAGTGAGAAATGTCCCTGGACACACACTACACTTGATTGCTGAAACCAGTCAGTAGAAACCATTGAAGTTTATTGGCGGTCACAATGCTTACACTGTATGCAGCAAACACCCTTACAAGTCTATCCGCAACCTGATCACGCAAGAAAGGATTCACCACACAGTCGCCAGAGGAGAAGGAAAAAAAAATTAACAGGCTTGTTTCTGGGGGCAGAGGAGAGAAATAAAAATAAAACCTAATTGATGAGTGTCCCATGGGCAAGAGCTGAACTAGAGATGTGTACAACTAGCAGCAACAATTGTGGAAAAGTACAAGGCAAATAGCTTTCTCCATTAATTTTCCTCTGTAGGTTAACTTTTAATATTCAAAACATTTATGGTTTTCATTTTATAAAAATGTATATTTTTCAAGGGAGAGAGAATGTTAAATACTTCATGCTAGGCAGACCTTGTTATTAAGAACCCCTCCCCTGTAGTAACTTCCTCCAGTTCATACATTCATGAGTGCAGGGTACATACATAAATATCCACACGCACACATCCGCACACACTGCCTCGAGGGCTGGGGAAGACAAAAGTAATGGCCACACATGGTTAGGCCTCTGGTGGACTCATCCAAATTGCTCAACAGGAGAGCAACAAGCTCAGTTACTTCTCTCTGGTCTCTACAGAGACTAAGAACCCTAAATATACAGTTAAATCCAACTTTTAATTTTTTTGGCTGTACTGGAGTTTGAATTCAGGGCCTTGCACCTGCTAGGCAGGTGCTCTACCACTTGAGCCATGCCCCCAGCCCTAAATCCAACTTTTAACAGCAAGAGGCATCTGTCTGAGGATGAGGGTAAGCAAAGTGGGAGAAAGGATGGAGATAAGAATACCAAACACTTTTAGCTGGAGTTATTTGTCACTGCAAGAGGCCTGGGGACCTAGGGCAGCATCCACGGTTAAGCGGGAGGGATGGTGCTCTGGCATGGCTTAAAGTTCCTAATAACAAGGGTTAATATAGCAACAAG